GAATATCTAAAATAACTTTCCTGCAATGGAAAGTAACAGAGCTGGGATTCTCTTTTTGCCCAAACGAATATAAGGGCTGTGTATTAATTTTAAACTATGTCAGTATTGTAGAATTTCAAAGATTGAAATGATATATGCAGGAAAATGTGGAATTTCCACCAGGGACTGTAATTCATATATTATGGGAGAGATTAAAGAATAATAAATTTTGGAAGGAAGTATTAATGGCTATATGGGGCATTGTGAACTTGGCATTCCCTGAAGTCTGGAACTTTGTATCTTAAGCTTTAAAAATGATTTGTGCAGGAGAATATCTAAGCAGAAAACAGTAGATGTTCTGACTGTGACCAGTTAGTTATATATTATATGAGTCATGAATTTAACAAAGAAGAAAGAAACTGACCTTTATAATGAATAGATAGAATAATTTTTGCTATTGCATCATCACTCTTTTTCTGAGCGAAAGACAGATGACAGAGAAACACAGTATATTTCTTTTATCATTAGGCAATGAATGACTGTACAACTCCTAAAAAGGACTTGACATATAGCAGTTTTCATGTTTAGCTCTTTCCAAATCAATCGATTGGATACCCTACTACTTACATGCTGAAGTCTACACTTTAATCTCTATATTCGTCTGCTTTAAAAATCACTTCGGTGGAATATTTTAAGTAAAATCTACATTTAAAGCACATTTAAAGAGGAAACGTTTCCTGCATCTCTTGGCCAAACTAGCTCAGAAAGCAGCCTGTGGTAGTTCACTTTCCAGTGACCTGACCTGATGGACACCAAAATATGCTACTAAAGCAACTGAGATGTTACTCAAAATCTTAGCATAAGACTGATTTGGCCATGGAGATCTCATAACCTTATCACCTTAAAGATGCAGGCTTTCCGGAACAAGCAAAAGTCAGATTGCCAGGGCTGTTCTGGAAAGCTTTCAAGTGCCCTTGGCTATGGTATAGACATAGCACTTCACTCTCCCACGCTTCCCCCAGCAATTAGCTCACTTTAGAAACAAAGAAAAGTAAGAAGCAGTTGTGCAGAGGTGAAAAAAAGAGTTGAAAGAGTGAGCTGAAAGATACCAAAGCTGTTAGCACATACAGTATTCTTCAGGTGTAGGTATATACTGCATTTCTTTGCGGAAGTCTGGGTCCCAAAGGTGCCATGTGTGCCACGTGATGCAGGGGTTACCTGACTTCTTTTATTGAATGCTGTAGTAAATGGTTGCACAAAATCCAGTGTAAATACCAAAGTGCAAGCTAGAGCTGCCCCTGGGGAGCTTTGTGCAAAAGTCTGAATGCTTTTTTATGCTGTAACCCTTCATGGTAAAGCAGTTCATACTGAATGTTTCCATTGTTTCTTACGGACAGGAGAAGTAAGATTAGCTTGGGAAGAAATGTCCCATTTTCTCATGTGTTATGTTCTTCAGCCAAGTAAGCCCCTAGGTTTGGCAGAATCCAGGGCCCTCCAAACCTGTGAAGTTCTTGACCTGGGGCTGATAAAACGGGGTCAGCACAGTAGCATGCTAGCCACACTATCCCATTCTCTATACATTTTTCATAGCTCCCAGTTGTTCTGATATGAACCAAACACGTTAGTCTGATCAAAAGTGATTCTGACAAGCCAGGGTTTTTAATAAAGGACAGATCTGGGTGTAGGCATAGGTAAAATGATTCCTAAGACCATTTAACACACAGGATATTTTGCAGCATACAGTCCTTGTGCCAAAGTAAAATGATATAGAACAACACCACAGGCATTCAGCTCCAGACCAAGTAAGGGCTGCAGAAGGCCTTGCATATAGCAGAGCCACTGTTTTGGGGCATAAGGGGTAAGGATGTAAAGAATACACCTAAGAGTGTCTCTGGTTCTGCAGAGTTATACATCAGGAAGGCTTTTCCTCCCCTAGAATGCAGGGAGGTCTGCCAGGAGCAGAGTAGAGGAGCAAGTGAATTTACCCGCCTCCCTTGCCCTCTCAATGCTGGAAGAATGAGACGTGCTAGGCACAGAAGAACTGCCCTTTCTTTCTCCCCTGAAACTACATTCAGGTTTTGCTGAGATGCATTCAATTGAAAGCAACCACTGCGCAATTCAGGACAATTCTGGCACTCTGCCACAATAATAACTGATCAGACTATCACGGTAGCAGCATATTTTGTGCTAGGAATGCTTCAGACCTACTGGAACAGCTGCAGAGAGTGAGGTTGGGAGGAGATAGGGAGATAAGGTTGGCTGAGCTAATACACGGTCCCAATGGTCTATCTCCTTCCCCTAGGATAACAGCCTTCTCCTAATGCCAATTAATATAGCCAGTTCTGGAGCTGACACGATATCAATCTGAACAGCAACATTAATGTTTCAGGACTCAAATACTGATGATGATGATGAAACATGAGGGGGGAATTAGTTCATAACCTGCATTAGTTCATAGTTTGTATTTACCTCTTTCCGTTAAATATAAGCCAGGAAATAAAACATGTAAAAACTGCATTAAATTCATGTTCTTTGGCTTGCAAAGTCATGTACTTGAAAGTTTTGAAATGCCAGATTTATGGTTTGTACATGCAATCTTAATTTGGATCCCTTGTACATATATGTATTATGATAGTCTTCAATGACATAATCACATGCTATTTGTCCCAAAAGGACCCCTGCCTAATTCAATGCAGAGGACAATCTTAAAATTGGTGCTTCCACATTAGGGTGCAAAGTCAAGAATTGAACATAACGGTAAGTCAGATTTTTGTTTGCAGATAATATTCATATAATTTGTAACAACACTTTTCTTTACACTGGAGTTAAATTAATTTTAGATTCCTAATTAGAATCTAACATAGCACTATGTTATCCAAGAATAGAACACGAAAAATAGCAATTATTTTTATCATCAGCTAATGTGTATTTTCATGGCTTCAGTGACAAGGAATCTGTAAGCAACTGTGTAATCTAACTGATTTCAGAAATGAATTCTTTCAGTTATGTGCCTACCATGCTGCATGCATAACCAGTATTTTATAAGGAAACATAAATAATGGGTGCTTGTGGTAGCCTGAAAGTTAGAATTTATGTAGCTGAAGATTTTTTAAGATGAATGTCAGAAGCATGATAATTTTGGCAAACCTACTTATAAAGTGCACAACTCTGTTCAGTTCCAAATGTAACCAACCCTCAAGAAACACATGCATAAGTTATGATATATTCACCTGGGCAAACCTCTGAAATTGCACCTCTGAAAAGGGTGGAAATGCATTTTATGGGCTATCAACCTTCTGCTTCCTGTTTTCAAACTACAAAGTTTGAAAGCTGAAATACTTAACAGGTAAACTGTGATCAGACTTGTAAATTAGTAAATAAATAAATAAATAAAGCTGGTATTTCTAACTTGTTCCACTGTTACTAGTTCATATTTACCAGAGAAAAGAGAATTGTTTGAAAAATATTGGAACCTTCTTTCTTCCTAGAATTCTGTGGAATTTGACTGAAAGTAGGGTGCCAGGTGATGCTCAACTTTAGGGGTCAGCAACCTGTTCAGGCTGCAGGCTAGACTGACCCAGTTCAGGTCAGAGGTGGACCTAGCTACAGCTGCCACTGCTTTTCCCAGCACCCACCTGGGGACAGTGTCGGCAGCTGGCAGTTTTCCCTGTGGTGGCAGGGGGCTTTCCCCTGCCACCACAGACATGAACACTGGCTGCAGACACACTTCCCATGCTGCTACAGGGAAAAGCAGCGGTGGCAGCTGGGTCCTAAAGCCCACTTACCCACCGTGGACCCATCCACCTCTGACCCAAACTGGGTCAATCTAACTGCAGAAGCCCCACATCTGTGGGATGGATCAAATGGCTTGTGGGCTGAATCTTGCCTGCAGGCCACTGGTTGCTGCCCCTGCTCTACTTCAGAGATCGGTATTGCCATTCTCTGGGTGCCTATAGACATACGAGGAGGCTGTATTTACAGCACCTCAGAGTAGACTCAGTTAATTGAGTCTGCTAGAGCATGCTAATTAGTGCTCTTCAGCAGCTTCCACATCTCATGCATCAGCATCTCTGGCTTTAAATGGCAGCAGGGGCACTTTAACTAGAGCTCGTTCAATAAGCTTTAGTGAAAGCACAAGACCCTGCAGGCACTTTAATTAGAGCAGCTTAATCACCACCACCCTCCTTACCCCTGGAGCATGTGTAAAAAAGTCCTCTCTGCTAAAGTCTGATCACCATCCCACTCAGATCACCATACAGCAATGCCAGAGCAAGTCTAAAAAGTACATGGAAGAAGGCTAGGGAGTGGAACTGGCCTTCCCTTCCCTCCAAACACCTCCAATGTGTGACCACACTTAAAACTGAATTAATTATTGGCATTATAGGTAAAATTAATCCCTAATGTAAATTCAGTGACATGAATTAGATTTACCTTGCACACAAATCTGGCCCAACAGAATTAATTTGTTAATACTGAAATCGTAATAAAGAATGCTTTACTGTCATTAATGCTGGTTGAGTTCTGAACTACCAGGTTGCTACAGGTTGCTACACATCACACATCTGCTACCAGCTGGTAGCAGATGTGAGGTATGACATCAGTCCCAAACTGCCTTAGATGCTCTAAATCACAAATATGCAGAGGCCCCCAAGTCTGACAAAGTTTTTCTACTTTCTTCCTGATTTCCATGCTTTTATCACCAAGTGAATAATCTTTGCCAGTTCTGACTTGGCTGCTGCACTTCAGTGCTTGATGGATGTAATAATCAGAATGCTGGAGAAGGTACATCACAGTCATTTTCGTCCATGGACATTTTATTGGCTCTGGCTGGAATTTGTTCATAAACAGAACATCATCTGCCACTCTGAAGCAGACGTAGCTTTCTTGCAATAATGGGAAAATGCAGTCCTCAGGGAAAGTAATCAATTCACTTTTAAAGGGAAAATTATTCAGCAAATTCAATAACTCCACGTAAGAAAGCAGCAGTACTAGCTGGTAGACAGCGTGTAGACAGGACTCACCTCGCGCAGGCCGTAACTCAGTGATGTTCTCTGTGGCTTCATCATCCGAGTCCCCAGTTGCCACTACCTTATATCTATTGCTGCTCTGCTGGTTCAGCATGTGGGGGACTTGCAGTGCAGCCTCTCTCTCAGCAGCCAGATCCAGATCTTGCTGAGCGAGGTGGGCCCTCAACTGCCTAATTTCAAACTGGAGGGGAAAGAGAAAATACACAACATAAAACAATGTGGTACAAAAAAAAGCCACCTGAAAATCATTATTTACAGGAGACTTGGCATACTGTCCAGTTTGCTGTTTTGAGGCCTGCATTTACAGCAAATTCTGTTCTTGATACACAGCCAGAATAAAGTGGGGCTTGACCTGAGGGAGTCCACGGAGCTGGAGTTTCCTTCTCAGACGCCCAGTAGTGGTAGCACTCCTGCTCTCCCCACCCACTGCCTGGTGGAGGGGGAAGTCTTACCAGCTGATTCCCCCCAAATATATCTTTTTGAGAAATGTGGAAACAGCCCCTGCATAGGTTTGCCATTAATTGGGACCTCTTTCCTCAAACCCAGAAAGGGCCCTCTAGAGCTGCAGGGAAAGGTGCAGATTTTACCTCATTGTTATTATTTTTAACATGTCAGGGTAGACAGCACTGTGTATAATGATAGGGACAATGATCAAAAGGAGAAGGACAGAAAGCAGCAATCTCACAGGCAGACTGTATTTCACCACGATTGACAGCCACACTCCCTCTGTGAGGAGAGATTAATGTTTCTCTCAGCAGGGACAGGAAAGGGCCTGGACATTTTCTGCTCAGCTACAAGGATTCACCTAATCTTCTTCCCATGTTATAAACCCCACATGTAAGCTGCCATGCTTCTGAGGGAGAGCTGCATTGGGTCCCTCCCTCTTATGAGACTGAGATCTAAGGAACCGCTCGCTCCAGAGAAATCAAATTACAGGTATAGTGAGTGGGGAAAGAAAATGAGTGAAATAGGAGGTTAAAGCATTTGAAATGCAATGTTGTGCCTCCTTTAACCAAAGGCCTGTAAAAACACCACGCAGCAGAGGAGACGTGTTACCAAGCCTATACTGTAATGCACCTGTCACTGCACATTTGCTGCTGAAGGGAAATTAGCACCTTAATGCTTAAAAACTTATGTGAAAGGGCACATTAGCTAACGGAATATGGCTCCTGCCTTCACCACTGAGATGCTGACTCAAATCCACTGCGCTGTCAAGAGTATAAAATGTGGGCTGGTCTAGTTCATTCCATGTTAGGCAGCACTTGGCTCATTTCATGTGGTACACTTCACTGAGTCCTCTGTTTAAAGCTACCACTTAGGATTCAGCATGACTGTCTAAAATCTGCAATGATTCAGTGGTTCACAATATGAGCCCATACTGTGAACCAGTGGCTCACATCTGTTTGGCTAAGGCACACATCTGTGTGGTGAGTCTGTCTATGCCGTTTGACTCCAGCACAGGTACTGACAGTGGAGGTTTCTTAAGCTACCTAACACCCAAGACAGAAGTAGACTGGGCCCAATAAATTCTTCCACAATAGCACCCTAATTTCAACAGCCAGGTTGTGACACTGACTTTCCATTAACTCCAGTATCAATCAGTAATGTAGAGCTGGGAACTTTCACATTTCACTGGCTACTCACTGTATTTTATTTCCCTGTTTTCCTTGCACTATAATGGGCAGAGATGATAGGGAATTTCAGCTTTCAATTTTGAATCTTTATGAGAGCACATACTGAAAACAAAACAGAAAAATCTTATGATTCCCTCTTTAACAAATATCACACAGAAATCTGAAGTGAGGAACAACTTATAGAGGAAGTTTTCAAAAGTTTAAAAAACCACTCAGGTATCCAATTCCAACTGAAAGTGAATATGGCTTAGGCAACTGATGGCCTTTTGGTCTTAGGAAAGTCTCTACCTGTATAGAGCATCTGAAAACAAAAAAGCATTACAAGATCTGCACCTAAAAGCTGAAGACAAGGTGTTCTTTTCCATTATGGATTGTAAAAAGTAACATAGTTTTGATTTGTGGTGTTTTAAAAAGCAAATGGCTGATACTATTAACAAGTAAACAAAATAAAATTACATTGCCACATTGCAGTTCTATAGCACAATAAATACAGAGCCTCTTACAAGCATTGGTTAAATTGTGCAACACCCATCACATAGGAAAAAACCATCTCCATTTTACTGACGGGGAAACAGGCAAAGCGCATAGAGCCAATGTTACACAAAAGCTATATGGCAGAAATGGGCATAAGACACCAGGTCTCCTGACTTACGCTTCTGTATGCTCATCACTAGGCAACTGCAGTTCCTCAAAACAAATCATGATAAAACAAAGTGAAAAAATAAACGTGAAGAATAAACTATAACAAATAAATATATATTAAAAAAAATCAAAGATGAATATTCTGACTGGTGGGTGAAACTGGATCACAGAGTGAACAACAGAATAACTCAGGTGAGCCGTATACTACTTCCTGTAAAGTAAAACAACAGAATGGCTTTACTGCCATCTTATGTTCAAAGGACAAAACTACACACATGCACGTTGCCAATCCTGCAGAGGACATATCTGCAAATGCCAAAGAACTGAAGACCTAGTTTTACTTGCTCCTGAAATCTACACTTGATGTCTCAGGCAGTATGGAAAGTTTGACTTTTCTATTGACCAAGCAGGAAAAGCATATGCATACCTGATTCCCTTTAGCAATCATATGTGAATGCCTTTACTGATCTCTGAAAATATGATCCTCATGTCTGTCCTATTTCTACCCTTGCCCCTTTGTTGGTTCAGTTGGATTAAAGATCAAATGTAGACTATTAGAGGGGGAGTTAAAGGGAAAAAAGGGTCATATCCTGAGCTGGTATATATCAGCAGTTCCACTGGCTTCAATAGTGCATATGTATTGTACAATAGTACACAAAGGTGTATAAGAAGTTAGATATATATACTGATGACTCCTATACTTGACTGAAACCCACGCAGCAAAATAAATGATTATGCAGATGATCTCTCCCCCTTTGGAAACAAGGGTCACCTTCTAGAATTCACTTCACCATTGGTCTGAACCTTGGACAGTCATATCCAACAGTGGAAAGCAAGAGTAAAATACTACCCTGTGGATGCATCTACATGAGATGTTTACTGCAGAGTGGCCTAATTAGTTCTACAGCAAAGTCTCTGTGTTTGGAGGTGTAGTCCTACTGGACTGCAGTAAGCTAATAAATGCTGCCATAGGCTATTATTTGTAAATATACGTACCCTCCTGCAGTGGTGCTCTTTAGCGTAAAGCAACGCATGCACAGATGCTGATGGGACTGGCTGGGGCAGGTGCTTAAGTGTGGGGGCTGAATGCTGGCTGGCCCCACTCTGGAGCACCTTTGTGCCCTAACCAGCCTCTCCGCATCATGCTGAGCTGGGTTGGAGCAGCCTTGGGCTGACAGGCTGACCTCCTGGACTCCCTGCCACCTGGGGCTTCTCCGACCCGGCTCAACATACTGCACTCCCAGGCGCACATGTAAACATGGCGCCTGGGAGCAACAAACTCTGGCACAATGTGTGCCAGAGTTTATTGAATCACATTAATTTCACATGTAGACACACCCTCTATGTATGACGGCTTTTCTACTGCTGAAGATGAGTCCAGTGTCTTGTATCAATGGTCCACATAACACTCGGGCTATATTATTGGTGTAAAGTAACTATACAGTTTGGTCCAACAGTGAAAGTTGACTACCATCATTATAATAAATATGTATTTTTTAGAACACAAATCTCATTTTGTAGTTTAGCTGGCATGGAAAAGGAGACTGGGGAGGAAATCATTACTTCCTGCTATTATTAACAAGTACACTTATTAAAATATTCAGTGAAAAATGAAGGGTTAGACATGTTACCTTCTAAGCCTGTGAAACCTCAATTGGCATTTACTCAAGTGATTAGCATAATAAATTTGATGTAATGAATGTTAAAGTTTAAATGTGTGTTATGCTCAAAATATGACAGTTGTATACAGAAATAATACCGTCTGCTTTAACAAAAGAGATTTATCTAGTATAAGCAAGCCAATAAAAATAAGAGTCATTTATTTTGACTTGTCAACACGCTCTCCAGTGGACCCAGAAGTAGACCAGAAGTGCTTCTGGTCCACTTCTGAGTCTGCTGCCAGGCACGCTGGAGACCACCCCGTGCTCCTGTGGGACACTCAATCCGCCTCACCATCTCAGCATTCATGAGCTGCCTGGTACCTTGGGGTATGTAGAAAAAAACATTTAAAGCTGTGTCTATATCCAAATCGCCAAATCTTTCTGAATCTCTCCAAATTGATTTGGAGGGTTCCGATTCGATTCGGACAGATTAAAGGGTCTCCTGATTCAATTTGGATTTTCATTCACCAAATCGGGCCAAATCTCCACTGAATTGAATTAGGGACTGAAGCTTTGCACAGCCCTAATGGAAACACAAAGAGGACAAATGTAGACAAGTCCCTTGAACTCTCTAAAGGGGTGTCTGTTGATAAGTCTTGGCTCTGGACTGGGAAACTTGGAACTAATAAATGGGCCCTCTGTAGGATGTGGGCTTGTTTAGAAGGCAAAGACAGGAATACACCAACTGAGTATTTGAAGGGAGTTTTGTTTTCTGCCTTGGAGGAATGGAAGAGATGAGCAGACTGTTGAACACTGATCCATCTGTACTTCAGTGAAGTTTTTTTTACCAGGACATCCATGATGTGGTTCCCATCACAAGAACTTACACCCTAAGAAAAGTCTCCACTAAAAAAATTCCATGTTCCAATTATTACTGAAAAGTACCTGGTAGATTACAATTCTTTCTTGGCCTGGCAGAATCTGCTTTGTTGGAACCTGGTCTAAGAATCAGCACCTGCAGGATCGTTCTTTTTTTTTTTTAACTGTATCTCTGGAGCTTTCATACAGCTTCTAATTCTATGTCTCTGGAAACAGAAAAAAGGGAGAACTATACTAAAATTAACATTTTGTGTAGAAAATATTAACTTTGCCTCACCTTTATACTGAATTTATGTATCATAGTTTTTAGGGGTTGGAAAGGAATTTACAGATCATTGGGTCCAGACCCCCTAATTGTAGCAACTTATCCTGAGGTGTAAATGTTATATCTATAAGTGACAATACTTTTGTACTGAAGAAAAGGG